CTGCCCCCCAATCTTCTTCCCAACTCTCCCATCGCACTACCTTATGCCCCACCTCTCTCTCTTTCTCGGTCTCGCTCTCTCTCTCTCTCACTCTTTCTCTCTCCCTCTATCTCTCCCCCCTCGCTCTCTCATCCTCTCGTTTCAGTAGCCCCTTTGTGGCTCCAGTTGTCAATTTTTTGCCATCGTGCCAGCCTCGTCGACGGCAGCGCTTGAAAAGAAACGCATCACCAACATGGGCAGGACACGCGTCGGCGCCGTGAACAGGTTTTTGCACAAACCATGGGTGACGAAAACCATGAAGAAAACATGGGCGGAATTTAAGGCTGCATCGCGCACGCGTTCGTGCGATGCCGTGGATGATGCTTCCCTTTGTTGCAGCACGCGTTTCGGCTCTCTCTGCGCGAAGAATAGGACGCTCAGGAAACCGCTCGACAAAGCGACGGCGGAGAAGCAGGAGCAGGCAAACGAACGCAAGGAGCTGCACGAGACGAAGCGGCGGCTGGCTCGGCTGGAGCAGAGCAACCAGGACCGGCCGACGGAGCTCGGCAAGGCCAAAGCCACCCTCGCCGACCTTCGCTCGCAGCAGGCTCGCTTCAACTACTGGGCAAAGCCTCGGGAGAAAAGCGCTCGGCCTGGCTCGCGTCGCGCCCCGCGAAGTGGGGTTCGAGGGGCAAGTCGTCCATTCGGGACGCTTGCGCATGCAGCCAGCGAGGCGCCCGCGTGACCCCTGCGCGGGGCTGATAACGACACGCCCGCATGCTGCCGCGCGGCGAGCCCGCCGCTCCTCCCGCCCCACGGGGCGGCGCGCGAACCTCGACCGCCGGGCGGTGGGGATCCTGAACAAGATCCCCCCATCGGGCGATATTGGATCAGATGCCTTTTCCGGGGGGATTCAGAACAAGGCGCCATGTCGCCGTCTGCGCTGCTGAGCAAAATCCTCCTATCGGGGGGGTGTGGGATAAGATCCACCGCGTGGGAGGATTTAGGATAACGCGCCTTGCCGCCGTCTGCGTTGCCCGCCTCCCCCGCGGCGGGCGTCCTGGGCTCGAGCAGCTCAGGGTCGCCGCCGCTCCCCCGGGCCAGCCGGGCGGTCATGGCGAGCGCCCAGGCCGCGGGGGCGGTCGCCATCGGCGAGACAACGGAGCCACTGGGCCAAGGCCAAGGCCAAGAGCAAGTCCAAGCCCTTCAAGGACCCCACGGCGGTCGAGCCGAAGCGCGCCACCGTCGAGGAGGCAAGCGTCGCCGCCCAGGCGTGCGCCAAGTGCCTCCCGCGCAGGGACGGCTCCACCAAAGGGTGCCGAGCCTGCGTCGGCGAGTGGTTCGAGGCCGTGTGAAAATGAGGGATCCTGACCAGGAGCGCCGAGGACCTCTCTTGCGCGGGCAAGTTGTAGCCACGAGCCTGGAGATCTCTCGAGTCAGTCTTGCGCCAAGATCTACAATGTCAGTCTACGCGAGCGCGCGGCATCGTCATCACCATCGCCATCGTCATCGCCATCATCAGCGCAACATCACTATCCCCAGGAAAATCGTTGTCAATCCCCGCCAGACCCGCGAACATCAATATCCCCATGGGATTATTATCGGGAGCACTCGGTTAAAACCGTTGACTTCCAGAGGTTGTTCTAATGCTCGTCGCCTTCATACGTTTCCCCGCGCCCAACCCTCGAAGATCGAGGTTTATTTGTTTAAGGGAATCCCCAGAATCCCTTTCTTCTCGAAGTGGGCCCCTACTCGGAGATCCCACGCGTCCCGCGACGTCCAGCCGGCGCCGCGCCTCTTGGCTTCCCGGGGGGGGCCCAAATACGCCCAAGGACAGCCCAAAACGACCCCAAGGAACCCCCGGAACGTACATAACGGTCCAACACCTCCCGCGCAGCACGAGACACCCTTCCGACGGCCCCCCCGGGCCTCCATGAGGCCTCCAGAACCCCCCGGGGGTCCGGAAGATCCCACACCCTTGGAGGGCCCAGCTAACAAAACCCGCGAGGCGCAGACAACAAATAACGCCGAACAGCGCCGAGAAGTTGAGGAAAAATGACAATCCCACACATCATTTTTTTTTCGAGTTTGGCCCCCGGTCTAACCTTGCACAATAGACCACAATTCAGACCCCCCTCGCCTCCCCCCAAAAAAAGAACCCAGGAAGCTTTTGAGGGCCCCGAATCTTTGAATACCGAAAAGAAATTAATGATTTCTGCGTTTCCGCATTTCCCGTCCCATACGATTCCGAGGCTTGCGCAGGGCCTCCAAAGGAGTCCCTGGGCGCAGGAAGGGACCACAATTATATCACATGGGTTAGCCTATCAAACCGAGCTACAAACTGAGCGCGCGCGAAGCGCGCGGTGGTTTTAGTGTATATATGCACACATCTATAAAGCGGCAAAGAAGAGGAGAACCAGGAGGGCACCGCAATAGACGGTTGATGATGACGAGGTTGATGTTGATGATGATGATGATGTTGCTGTTGTTGATGATGATGATGATGGTGGTGATGATGATGATGATGGTGATGGTGATGATGGTAATGGTGCTGGTGATGATGTCTATGTGGAAGGTGGTGACAATGATGACAACGATGGCGACGACGGTAATAATGGTGAGGATGGTAGTTGCTATGTTGATGTACGATGGTGATGACAACGATGATGATGATGCCAATGTTGTATGATGGTGAATGTGATGCTGATGATGTTGATGGTGATGGTGGTGATGGTGATGATGAAGATGATGGTGATGACGGTGATGTTTGGGATGCTGATGATGATGATGACATTGTGGATGATGTTATTGATGTGAGTGGTGATGAGGTTGATGATGACGACGATGATGATGACGATGGTGATGGTAACGATGACTATGATGATGGTGATGATGATGCTGATGATGAAGCTGATGCTGATGCTGATGATGGTGAGGAGGAGGAGCAAGGGGAGAAGGAGGATAATGATGAGGATGCTGATTATGATGATGATGTTGATTCTGATCATGATTATGATGATGATGCCGATGATGATGATGATGATGATTATGATGATTATGGTCATGATCATGGTCACTCTGATGATGATGATGATGATGATGCTCATGATGCTGATGATGTTGATGGTGATGGTGATGGTGATGGTGATGATGATGATGATGATGTTGATGATGATGATGATGCTGATGATGATGGTGATGGTGATGATGATGATGATGATGATGATGATGATGATGATGATGATGCTGATGATGATGATGATGATGATGATGCTGATGATGATGATGATGATGCTGATGATGATGATGATGATGATGATGATGATGATGATGATGATGATGATGATGCTAGTGGTAACGTGTGTGATGCTGTTGTTGCCGATTGTGATGCACCTCGCTAGAATCCAGATGGCCTCAAGGCGTTCAAAAAGGGAGTCTCCAGACGACCCAACGCTCCCAGAAGGCGCCCAAGAGGCCCGAAGAAGCCCCAGGTTGCCCCCAGCGTCGGCCCAAAATCGGTTCCTTGGGGTCGGACAGCCGTTCAGGCAGCACAGGACTGACCCGAGTCACCCCTAAAATGCCCTCAGGGGTCCCGGAGGCCTAAACACAGCCTGCTGACTTTTCAGGAGACGCTCAAGGCAGCCCAAAAGGGCGTCAGGAAACCTCGGGCCGCTGAGGCCTCAAGATCACCACCACGAAGCCCCAGGACCCTCCCCACAGGCGCCCAAGAGGCCCCAATAACCCCAGGATGCCCCCAGCGGCGGCCCAAAATCGTTTCCCAGCGGGGTCAGACAGCCGCTCAGGCGGCGCAGGATTGCCCCGAGTCACCCCTAAGACAGCCTCCCTGGGTCTCAGACTGCTTTCTCAGGAGACGCTCAAGACAGCCCCAGAGGGCCCCAGGAAGCTCTCGAGGATACCTCCGACAAGCCAAAAACCTTTACACACCCATAGGGACTCAGTGACTTGTGCCTTGTTGCCTGTTCGCCTGTGATGGTCTGCTGAAGTCTCAGATCGCCCCACAGAGGCCCCAAAACGCTCCCACAAAACGCGCAAGAGTCCCCACGAATCACCAACACGCCCTCAACGGGCACCCGAAGTCGCTCCTGAGAGGGGCCAGACATCCATCAAGGCGGCCCAAGGAAACCCCCAATCGTACCCAGGTATTTGCAACAAACCTCCAGTACTTCCCTACTCGGCTTCAAGAGCGCCCCAGAAGGACCTCAAGGTGCTTCGGGACGCTTCGAAACATGCAAGAGTGCTCCAAGACAGCCCACGAGAGCCTCGAGACGGCCCACGAAGCCCCCACCAGCGCCCAAGAGAGCGCCAAGAGGCCTCCAAGAGGCCCCCTAAACCGCCGACGAGAGCGCCAAGAGTTCCAAAGCACTTAAGCAACATATATGACTTTTGGCATTTCGCTTTTTGGCCTCCGATACCCTTCAGAGGCTGACGCATGACCCGCACGAGAACGCCGAGATGCCCTCCACAGGCGCCCCAAGCAGCCCCAAGAGGCCCCGAGAGGCTCCCATGACGCCCGAAGAGGCACCCTCGATGCCCAAGGAGCTTTCGAAGAGCCCCCAGGAGGCGCTGAAGAAGCCCTTAGAAAGATTCAGCGATTTCAGCGTTCTCGCTTTTCTGCGCTCCCTCGAGAGAACGCTCTGAGAGTGCCTCAGGACAGTTCTGTATCATTTGTGTTCTTCCTTTATTTCTCTCTGTATGTATATGTATAAATACATGCGTGTATCGCGATACATATATATATATACACCTTTTTCTCTCTGGCGCGCAGACGCGCATCTGAATTTCAAAGGGTACCTTACGCTCATGTTACGAACTGCCCATCGCTTGATGTCAGTATCTCTGTGGCCTGCGGGGCACGTGGGCAAAGAGGAAGCGGAGCAGGAGGAGTGGGCGGTAACACGAGTGCTAGCAGAGAGAGGTGTGACCAAAGGAGGAGGAGGAAAAGGAAAGGGAGGAGGGGGGGTAAGCAGGATGTCTTTTGTGTTCTGCTTTCTGAATCCCAGGAGACCGGCAGCGAAGGATGGGCGGTGTACGAGATACAGGCGAGCGGGTTGGTCAGGGCTCTTGATTGATTGATTGAGAGTCCAGTGGCGGTCCAGCATGAGAAGGGTTGCTGCGTCACCACGCCAGCAGCAACAAAAAGACTCGCGCGCTGCGGGTCGTGGCTTGGTCCGGAGAGCTGCATTTCTCCAGGGGTGCCCCGCGAGGGCGCGAAGGCGCGCGCGCCGCGCCTCGCGGGGCGCGACGCGCGCAGCCGGGCTGACCGAATCACGCTGTGCCAGGATGCCTGGGGTTCCCCCGGTTCCAGTACAGTGGGGGCGCGCATCAAGAAACCAAATGCTTTTCGTCAGGGTACCCTCGGTTTCTTTGCTCCTCGCGCTGCGCGGCGACTTCCCGCGGCCGTTGAAGGAGCTGCTGCGTTCAGGGTGCTCCAGGTTTCCCCTCCGGTGCACCTCGCGCGCGGGTTCTCAGGGTTGGGTTTCTTACGAGGGTTTCTTGCGGCCGCGTCCGCACTGTACGTGCGTGCTCGTTGTTCGCGGGGGCGTTTGGGTTCTTGGGCTCGTTGCTCCGGGGAGCGAGCGGCACGAGGGTGCGAAGATGACCTCGCGCCGGTTTTCCAGCTGCGGGGTGCTCCCCAGCAGTTGTGCCTCACAGAGAGCGTATCGGGGGTACCCAGATCGTCCCGAACTTGCGCCGGAGACCCGAGTCGTGGCCGTGGCCCAAAAATTTCCCAGAACAGGGTCAGGTTCGGGGAGGCGATGCATCGACGCTCAATCTCAATCGGCCACTGTTCGCCGATGGGGGCCCAGCAGCACACCCCGCCCAGGAACCTCGGGTTCTGCAATCGGGGCCCTATCGCCGATCAAAGGAAGTGTAGTTTCCGCCGATTCCAGCTCGACGTGTCCTCCCCTGAGCTGGTCCCCCGATCGCTGCCTCTCAGGCAGGGGCGCAGTGCAGTCGGTCGGGGCCTGCGTCGGAGAGGCTCTTCGCTGCACCCCAGACTTGGGGAGGTCTCGCGTGCACGAGCGGGCACGGAAACGAAGCAGCGCCCACTGCGAGAGGATTGAGGATTGGCCGAAAAAGGGCGGTGCGGGGGCGGCTCTTAGTCCGATGTCTATCGAAGACGCCTACGGCGAACCACCGCCGCTCCCTGCCTTTTGGAATCGCCCATGTGGCCGAGCGTTGTGGCAAGAGCTCTGCGAAGCTATCGGACCATGTGTTCCCCCAAGGGGAGCACTCTTTGGGCCTCCCTGGAGCTTCCTGGGAGCCTTCCGGAAGCATCTTGGGGGCCTCCTTGGGCCTTTAGGGGGCCTTTGGGGGCTTCTCGGGGGCATCTTTGGCCGTCCTAGGGCATTCCTGGCCCGTCCGACGCCGTCGGAAGCCGTCTTGGTGGCCTCTCTGGGCCGACTTGGGGCCAACTTGTAGTGCTCCAAGGCCATCTTGGAGGCCATCTTGAGCGTCTTGGAGGCCGTCTTGGGGCCCACTGAGGCAGTCTTCGGGGCCTCTTGGGCCGTTCTGAGGCCATCTTGGAAAGCCTCGTGGGCGATCTTGGGGCGATCTTTGGGGGCTCTTGGGTCGTCTCGGGCCATCGGAAGATCGAAAAGAAGCACATGCCTAGATTCTTCAAAAACCGAAGGAATATCAAGATTTTGGCACCTTCGGGCCTTCCTGGAGGCCCTCTTGGGGGTCCCTGGGGCCGTCTTGGAGACCTCTTGGGGGCCTTCTCGGCCGTCTTGGAGCCATCTTGGGCCGTCTGGATGGCCTCATGGCCCGTCGAAAGCCGTCTTGAGGGCCTCTCTGGGCCGGCTTGGTGCCCTCTTGGGGTGCCCCAGGGTTGTCTTGGGAGCCATGTTGGGCGTCTCGGAGGCCTCGTGGGCCGCTTGGGGCCCTCGTGGGACCGTCTCGGGGGCCTCTTGGGCCGTTCTGGAGCCCTCTTGGAGGCGGCGATCTTGGGGCGACCTTTGGGGGCTTGGGACGTCTCGAGCCGTCGGAAGGGTGAACAGACGCAAATGCCACAATCCTATGATTTTTACCTCTTCGGGCCTTCCTGGAGGCCCTCTTGGGGGCCTCTTGGGCTGTCTTGGTCTTGGAGCCATCTTGGGCTGTCTTGGTGGCCTCCTGGCCCGTCTGATGCCCTCGGAAGCCGTCTTGAGGGCCTCTCTGGGCCGACTTGAGGTGCTCCATGACGGTCTTGGAGGCTATCTTGGGCGTCTTGGAGGCCTCGTGGGCCATATTGGGGCCCTCTTGGGGCAGTCTTAGAGGCCTCGTGGGCCGTTCTGGGGACATCTTGGAGGCCTCTTGGGCGCTCTTGGGGCCGTCTCGGGCCGCGTCGCGGAGGACCGAAGAGAAGCAAATGCCGAAATCCTTCAAACACAAAAGGAAATACATGATTTTGGCCTCTTCGGGCCTCTTGGAGGCCTCTTGGGCCGTCTTGGAGGGCTCCTGTGGTCCTCTTGAGCCGTGTTGGACCATCTTGAGGCTATCTTAGGCCGTCTTGAATGCATCTTCGTCTTGGAGGCCATTTTGGCCATCTTGGAGACATCTCGGAGGCCTCCGTGGGCCATCTCGGCGGTTCTGAAACCCATGCTGAGCCATCGTGGGGCAATTTTTCCGGGGATTCCGAGCATTCTGGCTGGCCGGCGGGACGGGCCGAAGGCTCAGGGAGAGTTTTTTGGGGAAAGAGAACCAAAACCAAGAGCGGTAGGGTTTAGCACGCCAGGCACCCTTGTGGCAAGCCAACAGGGAGCGGCGGATCGAAGACGCCCACGGCGAATCACCGCCGCCCCCTGTCTTTTTGGAAGCGCCTCAGTGGCCAAACGTTTAGATCCACAGCTTAAACAAATTTTCGGACCAGGTGTCCCCCGAGCCGCTGTGGAAACCTTTCGAGGAACACGTGGGCAATGAAGAGGAGGATGAGGAGAGGGAAGAAAACGGATGATGATGATGATGATGAGGAGGAGGAGGAGGAGGAGGATGAGGAGATCTCTAGGAAGCCTCGTGCGTCATTCCTGGGGCCTCCTGGGAGCTTCCTGGGAGCCTCTTGGAGGCCTCTTGGGCGCTGTTGGGTCGATGTTGGGGGCCGTTTGGGCCGTCTTGGGCCGTCGGAGAGCTGAAAAGGAGCAAAAGCCACAATCCTTGAAGCACCTAAGGCAATTCAATGATTTTGGCCCTGTCGGGCCTTCCTCTTGCGGGCCTATAGGGCCGTCTTAGGCCATCTTGAGGCCATCTTGAGTCGTCTTGGGTGCATCTTCGGGCCATCTTAGCCGTCTTGGAGGCCATCTTGGCCGTCTTGGAGACCATCATGTTTGGCGTTTTGGGGGGGCTCTTGGGGCCTTCTTGGGGCCCTCTCGGGGGCCTCTTGGGCTGTCATGGGTCCGTCTTGGAGGCCTCTTGGGCGCTCTTCGGTCGATGTTGGGGGCCGCTTTTGTCGTCTTGGGCCGTCGAAGAGCTGAAAAGGAGCAAAAGCCACCATCCTTCAAACACCTAAGGATAAACAATGATGTTGGCCCTGTCGGGCCTTCCTGGAGGACGTCTTGGAGGGCTCTTGGGCCGTCTTGGAGGCCTCTTGCGGGCCTTGTGGGCAGTCTTAGGCTATCTTGAGGCCATCTTGGGCCGTCTTGGGTGCATCTTGGGGCCATCTTGGCCGTCTTGGAGGCCATCATGGCCGTCTTGGAGGCATCTTGGAGGCCATCTTGGCAGTATTGGAGGTCATCTGGGGCTTCTTGGGGGCCTCTTGGGCCGTGTTGGGCCCTTCTTGGGGCCTTCTTGGGGCCGTCTTGGGAGCCTCTTAGGCCGTCCTGGGGCCGTCTTGGAGGCTTCTTGCGCACTCTTGGGGCGATCTCGGTGGCCTCTTGGGCAGTCTGGGGCTGTCGGAGGGCCGAAAAGGAGCAAAAGCCCAGATCCTTCAAACACCTAAGGGAGATCAATGAATTTGACCTCTTCGGACCCGCGTGGACGACCTCTTGGAGGCCTCTTGGGCCGTCTTGGAGACCCCTTGGAGCCCTCTGGGGCCGTCTTGGGCAGTCTTAAAGGTTTCTTGTGCGAACTTGGAGGCTTCTTGGACCCTCTTGGGCCGTCCTGGAGGTCATCTTGGGCCATGTTGTTCCATCTTGGAGGCCGTCTTGGGCCAACTTGATAATCTTAGAGACCATCTTGAGCTGTCTTGGAGAATGTTTGTGGACGTTGGGGTGGTTGATGCTGCCTTCCTTTCGGTTGGCCGGCGGGACGGGCCGAAGCCCAAGGGAGTTTTTCTAAAAGAACCAAAATCGAAAGGATCTAGCACGCCGGGCTCCCCTGCGGCAAGCCAACAGGAGGCGGCGGATCGAAGACGCTTACGGCGAAGCACCGCCGCCCCCTGCCTTTTTGGAAGCGCCTATGTGGTCGAAAGTTGAGGCCAGACCTGCCAAGCTATCGGACCATGTGTTCCCCGAATCGGTTTGGAAAGCCTTCGGGGAACACGTGGGCATCTTGAAGGTCATCTTGGCCGTCTGGAGGTCATTTTTACCCTTTCGGGCCTTCTTGGAGGACGTCTTGGAGGGCTATTGGGCCGTCTTGGAGGCCATCTTGAGCGTCTTGGAATTCTCTTGGGCCGTCTTGGGGGCTTCTTGGGGCCGTCTTGGGCCTCTTGGGCGATCTTTGGGGGCACTTGGGCCGTCGGAAGGCCGAACCACAAGCAAATGCCACAATCCTTCAAACACTGATGGGAAATCAATGATTTTGGCCTTCCCTTCCTGGAGGCCCTCTTGGAAGCCTCTTGGGCCATCTTGGGCCATCTTTGGGCCATCTTCGGCTGTTTGGTGGGCTCCTGGCCCGTCCGACGCCGTCTGAAGCCGTTTGGGGGGCCCCTCTGGGCCGACTTTGGGCCCTCCTGCCTCTCCGACCCCTGCGCTTCTCTCTCCGACTCTGGCCGTGCCGATTTCCGGTTCCAACCTCACCGACTGCGGCTCCGACACCCACTCTTATCTCTCCGACTCCGGCTGCCACTCCCCGACCCCAGCCTCTCCGACTCCGGCTCCCATCGCCATTCCGATTCCTGCTCGTC